AACTGACGGAACATCTTAAACGTCAGCGTGGGTAATCCGTCCGAAGAATTTTGAGCGCATTTGGGGAAACGTTGTTGGAGACGAAAATCCAGACTTTGACGCACAGCACAGCACTTTGAGGTTAGGAGTCCACATACGTCTTCAGGCGTCACTCGGGCGCAAGCCGGCTGCCTCACCATCGGCGCCGAGCATTTCCACCCAAAAAAATCACGGCGCGATCTCTGGGCGCCAACATTCGTTTTTCTCGTCTCACACTCGACTCCTTTACCAACCCCACGACGCAGCAGAAACCTCGCAAACTCTTTCGGGCGCTCTGCGTGATCACTGCAGAACCCAAACAAAACACTCGCCATTGGTCCTGGCGCGGGGGACGGCCGACGCGATCCGGGGGGAATAAAATACTTACTTTTCGCGTGCTTGGGCATCCGAGGGCACTGTAGAGCCCTTCCCCTTCGCGTACATATTCATTAGCGTCTATCACACACTTGTCAGACAACCAGGACCGATACCGTTCGCGACGTCGAGCATGGCAACATTAGGCTACTTGTCAAACACCAATCTCCCGTACGGCTGCGGCTCATCTGGCACGGCGAGGCGAGCGCGAGCTGAGAGCGCCGAGGAGCCGAGCTGCCTGGCGAGCGGGCAGCGAACGAGCACCTCTCCGCTCGGGCTCGGCTCGGCCCAAGTTTGCGCAAGGGAATGGGGGAGAAGAAGGGGAGGAGGAAGAAAATTGCCGCCCAGGATTGGCTGGCCGCTCTCGGCTTGGCTGTTCCCGCCGCGCGACCCACTCCCCGTCATGGGGTCTCTGCAGGCGCGGGGTATCGCCGCTCCGGGACCGCAGTGCTGCTGACTGGGGGTGTTTTGCAGGTCTCCAGGGAAAAAAACGCTCCTGGAACTCTTTTCAGGCGGGGCGTAATAGCAGTTTGGGGCTAGCGAGCCCGTTGTTTTCGAATAACTCCGGGGAAAGCCCGGCATGGAAGCTTTTTCGCGCTTTTCGCGGGGAGCTTAGCGCTTCAGCCGTGGGGTATGGACGACTCCTGCTGGGGAGTCAGCGCATCGCGTGTATCAGCCGCCGGCACGAGCGCAGGGCGGGAGGTTTGAATTGGGCGGAATTTCGACCGGGTGAAAACTAGACATGAAAGTGACACTCGGGAATGCGACTATGACTGTCTTCATCGGTGACCAAATCCTTTCATTCTCTCATACTCCTACACGTTCGTCAAAACTCAAATCTCAAGGTCTCCAGCATTCATTTAAAAAGGAAATAAAATCTAACCAGATTTCAAGTGCTCTAACCTCAATTGTACTACTAAAAATCGATAAATTTAAATTCAAATAGTAGTACACCACTTGAATGACATTGGTAAAAGTTTGGACCATTACATGATGTAAACAACGCAGTTACGGTAGGAGGCGAGCTACAACTTGTTTTCATGGATATTGTGCTTTCAGATGTGCGTCAATAAGTCTAAGGTTCCGTCACGGTGGCCATTTTGTCACTACCAGATAGCAGGAGCAGAACTGTAACCTGCACGATCACAAGGACCGAACCATCCTTTCTCAAATTTGGAAGTTTGAGTTTCGTCAGGACCTAGCAGCGCTGACAGCCCGAGCCCGTCGGACACTATTTTTAGCGAGGCACGGTGGACCAAGGGCAAAGCAATATTAATAATCAGCATCACAAATGTCGATACTTCGTCGGGCGGAACACCAGAACCGGTCAGTCAACGCAACTGTCAGATCTTCAATATCTTTCGTTTAACGTCAAGATGGGATGGACCATTTCGTGGGAAGAATTCGTGTCATACACAGCCGATTTCATGACAGTTTCAGAGGAAATTTGTGATGGTTGGGTCTGGCAGGGCGACAAGGTATGGAACACAAGATTGTGAGGGAGAACGCACCGCCATCTCAATGTGAACATCTTTAGAGGCGGGCGCTGTTCTTGTTTTGAAATGTGCGCTCATCTGCTTGCTTCTAGGAACGATCGGGGAGTGCATACATCGTGAAGAAAATTCAGCTCCAAATGCCTGCCGACACTTATGATTGCAAACAAGAGACAAATGAAAATTGCGATGACCTATCAGTAGTGGAATTTGAAGTGTGCCATTTCTTCTATGATACAATATTGTATGGTATTGTATAGCAAGTTAGCAATATTAATACAGCATTTATTTCAGGAGTCACACTCAGTGGCAGTTGCGGAGTCAGCTGATTTAGAATGCACTTGGGAATACCACGTATTGTACAGCATCAGCTATGCAACTCCTGTCCTATATTTCAATGCATTCTATAGAGGTGGGTACAAGTTACCATGTTTCACATTATTATATGTATCCAGTTATTACTGCATGTTCAACTTTCCATGAATATTTGCAATTTTAAAAGATGGCAGACTACTACCTTTGGAAGTTATATGGAAGAGGCATGGAACAGAAACTGAAGCTCTCCAACATATGCGCTGGGAGGCTCTCTCACAACAAGTGAGGCAAACAGTCGACTTGCAGAGGATTAGTTAATTAGGTGTATACTTTGAAACTAAGCTGGGAATGTGTCAATTTCAGGAGCATCCAATTCTAAGACGACCGTTTTACCAACTACATCCATGCAAAACAGCTGAGTTTTTGAGCCATCACCTGGGTTCAAGGTAAGTCACCAGAGACCTACATTTTTTCCCAAAAGTAGCAAATGGTAGATGTACTTGAACTTGTTGTTGCAGTTTGAATCCTGTTGTAACATGGCTTAGCAGCATTGGCCGCACAGTTGGACTACACCTTGATAACGAATACAGTAAGTTGGTAAACAAAAATGTCTGAAATAAGACTGAACAATCCTCAAGATCAAATAAATTTCATCTGTGATATTAGCAATTGTGTTATGTTTGATAAAAACAGATAGAAGATGATTTCAGATAAGAGTAAAATACAAAAGAAGCAATTAGAATTAAGAAATTACTTTATTCCTATACTTTGAATTGTTGTAATGTTAAAAACACTATCAATGAGACCGATTTTTCTTTGACTGAACAGCACGCACTTTCACTCACAGACATTCACACTCAAAACACAAAATTATCATTCACAATAGAAACACATTTCTGCATGTTTCGAAAGTAATACAATTATCACATTTGCAACATGAAGTAATGGGTTGCATGGATATCGTTATCATACTTGTTTGTACACTCAATGCATACCACTAAATGTGTAGATTGGATTAAAAATCCAAAGTCCTGTAACTTTGCTTCTGATCTGCTTTTGGCTGCAGATCATCAAGAAGACTCTTGAGTTCAATAAGGTGGCCTTGGAGGTCCTGAAACAATCAATCAATTCATGAATAAGAATAAAATCACATTAATAAAAAGAAAAAGAAAAAAAAAGCCTGATTTCATGAATTGAATTGCCTTAAGCATTAATTCTGACATGATTCTGGTTAAGCTAAACTTTCATGTACAGTAATTGCAGAAAAACATAGATAAGAGTAAACTAATTTTTAAACATGAGGTGATATAATTGTCATGGTCCAATAAAAAAAATTAGTTTCTCTGAAGACTCCAAATAAATGTCTGAAGGCTAAATGAAAGAAGGGTTCACTAAACCATTCTTAGGAAACCATGTATCCCTAATTAATTGTCTCAGTACAAAAAGCAAAGAGACTTTAAGTAAAACTAGGGGATTCAATATACCATTCATAGGAAACCATGGGTGAAATAATTTTCAAACATGGGGCAAAGTAATGGACTATAAGATTTGTAATTTTAGAGACAACTAGATAAGTAAAACAATAGAATGTTTCATGCTTTGGCAAACCCTAGCTAGATGGCTTCAGGAAAAATGTAAAAGCAAGAATCGATCTACCATCCTTAGGAAACCATAAGTGGAAAAATTTCCAAACATGGGGCAAAATGATGGATCTCTAGTTACCTTAAGCAAGTAATGTATCCCTAAATAACTGTCCCAATACAGAAGGCAAAGAGACTTACTGTAAAAATAGGGGTTCAATATACCATTCATAGGAAACCATGAGTGAAATGATTTTCAAACATGGGGCAAAGTAATGGATAAAAAGTTTTTGTAATTTTAAAAACATGAAGTGACACACATGAATGTTTCTCACTCTTACAAACCCTAGATAGATAACTTAAGGAAAAATGTAGAAGCAAGAATCAATCTACCATCCTTAGGAAACCATAAGTGGAAAAATTTCCAAACATGGGGCAAAATGATGGATCTCTAGTCACCTTTAGAATGTAATGTATCCCTAATTAACTGTCTCAATAGAAAAGGCAAAGAGACTTACTGTAAAAATAGGGGTTCAATATACCATTCATAGGAAACCATGAGTGAAATGATTTTCAAACACGGGGCAAAGTAATGGATTAGTGATCTCACGATTTTACAGATGACTTACAGAAGTGTCTCTGTACTTTAAATGTGTTCTGTTTGGCACAAACCCAAGATGACTCTACAGGTTAATCAAAGTGCAATCAGAATTTTATCTCCCATCCTTAGGAAACCATGAGTAAAATAACTTTTTAACACGGGGCAAAATGATGGACTTCAGCACATGATTAAATGTAATGATGTCTACACTATCACTCTTCAGAAAAAGATTTATGGAGTAACCATATGAAATTGGGAATTCAATTCACTATTCACTGAGACCATGTAAGGAATGACATTAAAACACAAAGCAAAGCAATGGATTCCAAATTTTGAGATTTTAGAGAGGACCAGAAGTATGATACTTGTCAATGTTTCTTGCTTTTAAAAACCCTAGATGACTCTAGGAAACAAGTAAAAGCAGGAATCAGTCTACCATCCTTAGGAAACCATGAGTGGAATAATTTCCAAGCATGGGGCAAAATGATGGACAGCGGAAGTGAGCAAAGAGTGATGTTTTGAAAATAGAAGCTTAGCTCTCCTAAAAAACAACTTACTGCTACAAATGCTACCCTTTGAAGGAAATAACATTTCAAACTAACAAAGGGACAAGATAAGCTTTGCTAGATTCACCACTACAAAGTATATAGGAAACGCATGTCTACAAAAAATTGTGATCTTGGAATGTTCTACCACAATTCAATGACTACCCAACTATGACAACAAATCAGGATGAAGTTACTGAGCTTACATCAGGCTTCAAAAGGCACAACCAAAATTGATGCAATAAAGCAATCCACAGAAAATGCAGGCCATTTACAGATACAAAAGCAATCTCAAGCAAACTCACCTCCTCTCATCATACCTGGAGGCATGCCTCTCATTGGTGGTGCGCCCATGGGAGGGCCACCTCGACCCATCATGCCGGGGTGCATGCCTGTAGATGAAATTGTGTTCATTACTAATCTGGTTACTTGGAATCATGTGACATGTAAAAATAATTGAAGACATTATCAGATGGTTTAACCAGTTCTGAAAACAAGTGACAAACTTACCCATCATGCCAGGGGGTGGTCCCATCATGCCAGGTGGCGGCCCGCCCACAGGCATTCTCGGAGGTCCTGGCTGTTGGGGCCTCATCTGCGGTGGGGCTGACACTTGACCGCGACCTCCTGGAGCCATGACTTGGGCAGAGGGTCCTCCAACTCCACGGACTGGACCTTGTAATCCTGTAAAACAAGGTAAGGACAGTTTGTCATGCATAATCACATCCACAGGAAAATTAACTATTTCAAACACATCATGTAAAGTTTTAATGGAATTCAGATAATTGTTTCTCACCAGCAGGAATGCCACCAGCACCTGGGGGGACACCTCTGCCTGCAGCACGACCCATTCCAGGTCCAGGAGCTGCACCAGGCACAGGTACACGAGGAAGTCCCTCTTCTGGTGGTGGGGGGCCTTCAACTGTCATGCACACAATATTTTCACCTCTGAGAAGAACAAACCCTAAGACTCGCTTTTCTTCTCTTTCTGGCTGCTTCTTCTTAGGCTTAATTTTTCTGAACTCTTCGCAGTCTCCTAATATGAGGTTCATGTGCTTGTCAAAGGCTGTATGAACAACAGAAAACAAAACATTGACTATGGTATACCGACCAAAGAAGGTCACGTGAAGGATAAGCAGATACATACCTTTAAAAGTACCAATGAGAGTCCGTGAATCCTGCAGGATAATCCGTACCCTGTAGTTGATATGCTGGAGCATCTTATTATTTTTACTGATCGTCTAAAAACAAAGAGCATCCAAAAAATTATAAGCACAACATAAAAAGAATACACGTAGTCCAAAGTTAAAGTTAACTAATGGAAAACTGGTGAACACTTGATAATAATTTGGATTAACAGATAGAAGGGCCTGTCTAAGAAGGTTAAGGTACTTCAGATGCAAGAATAACAGTTTACTGAAAACTAAAGAGTTCTGACAAGAAAAATAGGAAGAAAAGTTGGGAAACGTACCATAGTAAATGGCAAAGAAAATAATCAGAACATCTAACGAACAGAAACCGGTTAACCTAAAATGCCCGGGCTTGGGTAACTTTGGGAATCGACAAAAAGGTGGTTTAAGAAACGATTTCTCGGCAAAAATTACTGTAACTGTTGACGGCCAAGGTACGGAGCTTTAAACATAACACAACAAACAGAAGAGCTTACCATTTTGACGGCGGATGTTTAACGATTAAATTCGAAAACTAGAAACGACGGCCAAACGACCGGCAAACAATCTTCCCACTTGGCGACTTAATGGCAAGTTGCCGTCGTTGTCCGCAGCTGTTTACTGCGATGCGAGCGCTGCAGTCGCAAGACGGGCTCAAAGCTACCAACCTACATCGTTTCAAAAGACTTCGAACAACACCGACGACATGCTTATCACCTTTAGAATTATATTTAAACTGGAGAAAAACATTATTTCAATTTACTCTCCTCTCAAATTCAATTATTTAACATCTCTGTGGGATTGGCGGCCGATTACAACCAGGAGGACAGGGTGGCTGAGGTGACGGAGAGGAAAACCGCGGTAAGTTGAACATTCTCGAGTCGATCTCGACCCACCCCCTCCGCCCACCCCCACTTTGTTGTTGAGTTGTTTCGGTGCGAAGTGTGCTGTTCCGCCCTAGTGCAAAGCGTGTTGTGTAAAACTTTGTTTATTTTTTGTGACACGAGGTGATACCGGATGAGGTAAGAGGGCAATTCTCGATGAAAGAGACATCATTTGATTATTCCTTTTGATTCAAATCCGTTCTGATGTATTTTTGATCTACATGGGGGCTCTATGACTGCCTCATAACCTCCCCACTCTTGCTTGTACGCAACCGTGTCTCGTTCATTTCGACTTGATTGCATCGTGTTCTTGGTCATGTCTTGAATTTTTGAGTACGTAGCATTTAAGTTGCTGAGGCTTCGTTTCGGTACGCAGAAGCTTTGTTCGTCCTTTGTTGGACTTGTCGTTTGCAGGGTTTTGTTGTCTTTGCGAGCCTCTAGCTTAGCAGTGTATTTTCTTTTCAGATCGGATTGTTTAACGCACGTTTCGGAGTTTCCTGTCCTCGCGTGCCAGCCGGGGAGCTGTCGCTGAGTAAGCAGGTGGGTGAAACACGAGTGTGTGCTTTTTTAATGGGGTTTGTAGTGTGTGCCCCTCGGACCTGTTGAGCGCGGCTGGGGAATAGGGGGCTGAGCAGCTGATAGGCAGCTTCGAGAGAACTCGTTCGCGGGGGAGAAATGCTAATAAACAGGACATCGCGAAAACCGGGAGGGTTGGGCAGGTTGTGTCAGGGGGGAAGAGAGAGGTTTGTGTTTTGATAAGAGGCAGATGGGAGGGGGAGGAGGGGGAGCATGAAGCGCACCCGACACTGCATCCTGCTGACGCCATGCCATTCCTGTCTGCAGGTTATGCTTGATCATCATGGGGAAGAAGCGAGGTGCGACGACCAGGGCCTCGAGGGCCCCCAAGCGGCCGGTGCGCGCGCGCCCCCCTGCTCGCGGCGCCCGCGGCGCCCGGGGCGCGCCTAAGCAGCGCCGCCACTCTCCCGTGCTGCCTCCGCGGCGCCGCTCACCATCCGGGCCGAGGACGCCGTCGCGCTCGCCAGCGCCGCCCAGGTCGCCGTCGCCGCCGCGGCGCCGAGTCCCCGTGGGCCCGCGGACGCCGCCGGGCACGCCGCCGAAGACGCCGCCGCCGACGTCGTCGCCACCGAGGACGCCTTCGCCGTCGCGAGCCAGCCGGCGCGACGCCGAGCGGAGGGGCAGCCGTCGGCGCCAGCGCTCGAGGTCCCCGAACAGGAGTCGGAGCAGGAGCCACCACCGCGACATCCATCTCCACCAGGACGCGGCCGGCCGCGACAAGAGTCGAGAGCGCCTCGGGGAAGACGTCGGCGCCTGCGATGTAAATGACCGTCTGCGCCCCAACCCACCCCTGGTCGCGGTGCACCTCCCAACCTCGTCGTCCGCCCAAACCTCTTCGTCCACCTCTACCTTGGCGTCCACCTCTACCTTGGCGTCTACTTCTACCTTGGCGTCTACTTCTACCTTGGCGTCTACCTCTATATTGGCGTCTACCTCTACCTTGGCGTCTACCTCTACCTTGGCGTCTACCTCTACCTTGGCGTCTACTTCTACCTTGGCGTCTACTTCTACCTTGGCGTCTACCTCTATATTGGCGTCTACCTCTACCTTGGCGTCTACCTCTACCTTGGCGTCTACCTCTACCTTGGCATCTATCTCTACATCGGCGCCCGCTCCTACATTGGCGCCCACGTCGGCGCCCGCCCCCGCCCCTGCCCCGGAGACGGACGCCTGCTTCGCGTGGCCCCCGCCACCCCCCGTCGGCGGCCTGCAGCTGGGCGGTGCTCCCCCTGGACCCGGGGCGCAGCGGGACGAGATGGACCTTTGGGAGCCCAGGACGACCCACTACTCGCGGGAGCGGTACCGCCCCCGGGGCCCGGACCCGTCGGGGTACTCCTACCCCCCGCCCGGGTACCCTGCGCTGCCGCCGCCGCCGCCCCGGGCGCTCATGGCCGCGCCTGTGCAGCCGCCCCTGCTCACCTCGCCAGGGTATTCGGGACACGGCGTCCCGTGGTCCCCGCCCCAGCAGCACTACCCACCGGCTCACCACTACCGGCAGGACCCCGGCTACCCCCTCCACCCCCCGGAGCCCGCCTACCGCGGGTACCAGACAGACTACCCTCGACCGGGGCCGTCGAGGTACTACCCCGAGCCGACCCCAGAGTACCACCTCGACAGACGCCCGTACTCTCAGTTTCCGCAGAACCATCTGCGGGACCATGCTGAGGCTCGCCTCCGTCGTGACCCCCTGCCCTACCCCCTAGCCCCCTACTATGAAGCTCCCCGACACCCCCGTGACGCCAGCCGCGGGCCGCCGACCCGGGAGGCGTGGCTCTACCCCGAGGAACTCGCCGAGAGACACGGGCGCCCCGCCGAGCACCTGCAGGCCGACCCGGGACCACGCCACGCGCCGCCCCTCCCCAAGCAACGAAAGGCGAAGCGCCCGAAGGCTCAGCAGAAGGCCAAGGGGCAGCTCCCGCCGCCCGGCGCCCTGGCCCAGCCGCCCTGGGTCCCCGACCACTACAACATACCCGGGAACCCCCGCGTCTCCCGCCCGGGACACGAGCCCGCCTTCGACGAGGTGCCCTGTCACGTGGCCAACTTCCAGGCTGGGCCTCGCCGTCGGCCATCCCCACGACCGCACCTCGAGGACTTCACCGAGGACGTCGAGTGCGTGCGCGGGCAGGGCTCGTTCCAGGACTATGACGAGGAGCCCGTCCAGCGCCAAGCAACCGGCCTCAAGTCACCGCTGGGCTGCGTCCTGGTGCGGGGAGGGTCGGGCACCTCCTACGAGAGGCACAGCCTCGTGCTGAAGCCGACCGGCATGCAGCAAGCCGAGGGCCACGAGCGCGAGCCCGACCTCCGGGTAGCGCTGTCGCGGAACAGGCCCGGCGAAGTCCACGACCGTCGCGAAGCGCTCCCGCTGGGCGTCAAACACGAGCCCGACCTTCGCGAAGCCCTGTCACGGAACAAGCCCGGGGAAGTCCACGACCGCCGCGACGCTCTGCCGCGGAACAAGCTAGAAGTCCACGAACGGCGCGAAGCCCTGCCGCGGAACAAGCCCAGCGAAGTACACGACCGCCGCGAAGCGCTCTTCCTGGGCGCCAAGCAAGAGCCCGACCTGCGGGAATCCCTGTCGCGGAACAAGCCTGGCGAAGTCCACAACCTACGTGGCGAAGCGCTCTCACTCGGCGTCAAGCAAGAGCCCGACCTGCGGGAAGCTCTGTCGCGGAACAAGCCCGTCGAAGTCCACGAGCGCCGCGAAGCGCTGACGCTGGGCACCAAGCAAGAGCCCGACCTGCGGGAAGCGTTGTCGCGGAACAAGCCCGGGGAAGTCCATGACCTTCGGGAGGCACTCTCGCTTAAAGCCGCGGGCGAGGCCCACCAGCATGACCTACGCGAAGCGCTTAGCCTGAAGCAGACCCTCGCCCGCAAGCCGGGTGACCTTGACCTCCGCGAATCTCTTTCGCGGAAACACGCTGCTGACGTCGACCTGCGGATTTCGCTTCGCACACCTTGCGAAGGCCCTGATCTCCGGGCGACGCTCAGCCGGAAGAAAGCCTTGGACGACTTGCGCAGCACTTTGGATAAGAAACGATCCCCAGTGAAGCTGCCACCAGTAGTCGTCCCCGACGGCGAGTCCTCGCAAGAAGACCAGCCGCCGACCCCTCCTCCATCGCCCGACCTGGCGGCCGCCCCCGCGCCCTCAACTGCACCTCCACCCGCGCCCGCCACCGCGCCCTCGCCGGCCACCGCGCCCTCGCCGGCCACCGCGCCCTCGCCCGCCACCGCGCCCTCGCCGGCCACCGCGCCCTCGCCGCGCACCCCCTCTGGTACACCCCCGTCCACGACGGAGACGTCTGGGCAGTCCGCGTCCTCCGGGCCCACTCACCGAACACCCCCGCATACGCCTCAGAACAGCCCGGCATGCGTCGCAGAAGGGACGCCGGAACACTGTGTGTCACCAAACGAGGCTGGAGAAGCCCATGAGGACCCTGGCTTGCTTCTCACGCTTGCAAGTGAGCTGAAGGAGATACTCGAAGACTATGAGATGGTGGAAGGAGCAAACCTAAATGACCCCCCCGACATTTCATCAGGGCAAAATTCATGTCCTACATTGGTAAAGTCGCCAGTTAACTTTGACCTCTTTCCCTTTAGGAAAAGAGCGAGTGACTTTTTTAATGAGATGGTAGTTAGTACGGAGGAGCTGAAAGCAACTCCCACCCCTCCACCCAGCCCGTCACATACAGGTAATTATGACTATAATCGTTCCACAGAATGGGTTCGACAGGTGGATAATTTTCTTGCTGCATTGAGATACGAGGTAGAGTCATCAGAAAATGAACTAGCTGACCTAGTAGAAGCCCCTGCTAATACAATTTCTGATATTAAACAACGGCTACGGAAGAGAAGTGCTGTAGTGTCATACTCTTTAGTCAAACGAAAGAAGAGGCTCAATTCCAAGAAAGACGTTGTCCCTAAGAAAACTAAAAAAGTTGTACCTCAAGCAAAGCGATGTTTGGTCATGAAAACTGAGAAAGCATCAAGCAGCTCAGAAGATGACTTGCCACTTATGGAAAGGCTAAAAAAAAAGCAGTCCGTTCAATTAAGTAGTTAGACAAATATGTAGTCTAAAACTTGTTTTTCTGTTTAATTTCTATTTCTACAAGTTGTGTTTTAGTTATTGTATTAATTAATTTTTATTACCTCAAAATATTTGAATTGAATTTATTAGTTATGTTGTATGTATCTAAAATATGTTATTTTAGTGCCAATACATTTTTTGTTTTAACTTTAGTATTAAAGTGTCGTTGGATTATATTGATCCAATAATCATGTTTGAAAAAATAAGAAGCCATACCATCTGAAATGCTTTTTCACCATCTGTGTAGTGGAAAACGAAGAGAAAATGATCATCTGTATGATGTCAGCTGTTAATAAAAAGAATTTCAATGAGGAAATTTATGTGCACTATCATCTACCATCACTCCCTTTTACACTATGAGCAAACAAAGAAAAAGATGCTTGTTGAGATGAACGCAGTAATTTGTTTAAAATAGAAAGACATGCCTGCCTAAAGTGCCAGTAAAAAATAAACCAAAGAAAAATCTCTTTACTTGCCAAGATTTAGAAGGTATAAATTTGAAACACTTAAAAAAGCCGCGGTTTACTCTCGGCTGCGTCTGAAACCCGCTACAGTGTTTTGTTTGGCAGCTGAATCCGGACGTAGTTGTTTTCGCCGTCGCTGACTGACATGATTGATTCCGGTGCTGCTGGGAAGAGGTTAATTTGTTGAACACTGGCAATGAAACATTTTTTGCATTGCCGCTAGTTCAAGTTGGAAATTGAGCTGCATCAGCTAGTTGGGCTCAGAGTCATCATATGTTTATAGGACACTGAAAGATGACGCTGCCGCAACTGTTACCAATGGCTTATCAGGTAGGTGAAGGCTTGTGTTCAGATCATGATGTTTAAACGATGCTGTCTCAAATACATCGAAAAATATCAAGAACTTGTTTCACTTTATATTTTACTGAGTTTTGGTGGGGTTGTGTGACCATCACTTTTCTCTCAGATCAAAGGGGAAATTCCTAACCTCCCCGACTCCCGGCAATGATGTTAAGATGTGTTTGTTATTGTCTACTTTAGACTGCCATTTCTACATTGTTTGTGCGTTCTTCAGATTAAATTAGCCAATAATTGCAATTTGATTTTTCTTCTCGCTAGGGTGGTGTCGAGCCTATGCAAGTAGATGCACCTCCAGAAGATAATGACAATTCAAACGAAGAAGAATTCTACATCGTCAGAAATCCAACTTTGGTCAGTAAAATCTCCCAGTTTATGCCAGTCTGAAATTGTGTTGGCAAGCTTTCCTGATTCATCTTGTTTTTGTTACAAATTATTTTAAGGATTTGGAGACATACGCCAATAGTTACAAAAGCTTAGCAAGACTTCACCGGTTAATGTTCATCGCTACCCATTGCCCTTCAATGAGAGTAGAGGCGCTAAAGATGGCTATACAATATGTCATGGGGACATATAATGTAACACTTTATCAGCAACTTCATAAAAAGCTCCAGGAAACAGTTGGGTATGTATTGGTCAAGTAATAGAGACCCTCTAAAATTATTAAGGTTTGGTTAATTCTAATTTATACATATTTAATCATTTTCAGACCAAGTTCTGCTGCCAATCTACCAGATGTTGCTGGTGGAGGTGCTCAGTCAACATCGCAGGATATACCCGCTTTTGATATTCATTGGGTAGAATCTAAGTCAAAGAAAGCTGCTTTAAAATTGGAAAAGCTGGATACTGATTTAAAGAATTACAAAAGCAATTCTATCAAAGAAAGCATAAGAAGAGGTCATGATGACTTAGGAGATCATTATTTGGATTGTGGAGATTTGTCCAATGCCTTGAAATGCTACTCTAGGGCCAGGGACTATTGCACATCTGGCAAGCATGTGGTCAATATGTGTTTGAATGTTATTAAGGTGAGATAAGGTTATGTATTTTGGCAATCAGTTAGTTTTGGAAAGTGGGAATCCAAATTGATCTTTCAATTTAAATTTCAGGTCAGTGTCTACTTGAAAAACTGGTCCCATGTTCTTAGTTTCATCAACAAAGCAGAAGCTACCCCTGATTTTTCAGAGGTAAGATCCGTTAATTCTTTATTTATTTTTCTTTAATTTTCCAGCTATACAGTTATTATTTTCAACTCTTGTTTTCAGGTGCATGGCAAAGATAGTAATCAAACCATCATGACTCGGCTGAAGTGTGCTGCTGGTTTGGCACACCTTGCCACAAAGATGTACAAACCAGCTGCCAAACATTTCCTGCAAGCAAATTTAGATCATTGTGATTTCCCCGAACTTCTTTCTCCAAACAATGTAGCAATGTATGGTGGGTTGTGCGCGCTTGCTACATATGATCGAAATGAATTGCAAAAGAATGTAATTTTCAGCAGGTGGGATTAAAATGCAAACTATGTGCACAATTGGCATTTCTTTACAATTTTTTTATCTATCTTCTTTGTTTTTCCCAGCTCATTCAAACTGTTTCTGGAGCTGGAGCCTCAACTTCGTGATATTATCTTCAAATTTTATGAATCCAAATATGCATCTTGTTTGAAACTTTTAGATGAAATTAAGGTTGTAATTGAAATATTAAGGATTGTGACAAACGTTTTACCCATGATCATAACATTAATTCTTTTTTTACATTCCTATTTTAGGAGAATCTTCTGCTTGACATGTATTTAGCACCACATGTTAACACACTTTATTCTCAAATTCGTAATAGAGCTCTTATCCAATATTTCAGGTAAAAAGAATTTGAAGTGCACTCATATTTGTTGAATTTTTATACTCTGTGTGTGGTATTTTTTTTACCTATTTTTGTTTGCAGCCCATACTTGTCAGCTGACATGCGGAAGATGGCTAGTGCACTGAACACATCTGTTCATGCTTTGGAAGATGAATTGATGCAACTTATCTTGGACGGACAAATTCAGGCAAGAATTGATTCACACAACAAGGTAAAGTGCAATTGCTTTAAAGAATCTATGGCATTTTGGAGGGAAAATTATTGTTAATTACAAAGTATATTTCAAGCTTTGTATCTTGGCACAAATTAGTCTGTCATGTGTTATTCCAATTTTTTGTTTCTACTTTTCTTCCAGATTTTATATGCTAAGGATGCTGATCAGCGAAGCTCTACCTTTGAGCGATCCATTATGATGGGTCAAGAATATCAACGGCGCACCAGAATGCTTATTCTTCGCTCTGCTATGTTAAAAAATCACATCCATGTGAAGGTAATGAGCATTTAATATCTATTTGAGAAATCTCATCTTGTCCATACTATGAATTTGGTGTTTCTATGAAGAATGTAAGATGTAGGCTGCAAAGTTTATTGGATAACTTCTCCAACACTGTTTTGTTAAGCTTAATCTCTTGCTATGTTTTGATTACACTTATTCTCCTCTTTGTTTTCATCCTTTTGAGGAGATATGATATGTGTGTATCACCTCTTTCCTTCCTAAAGAAAGAAATTTAAAATATTGGTGGTGTGGTGTGTTTCAGAGCACCACAGGCCGTGAGACTGGCCAGTCTGGAGATGCCGCTCAAAGTGGTAAAATTGGCATTTTCCTGTAGTAGCTTTTACTTCAAGCTTGGCTTTAAATACTCCCCTTTCCAAAATCTATCCACCTATATATGCTTGTTGCACCATTATGCCTTTTAGAATTAAATAAATGCAAACAATGCAGTGAACACCATGTTCTTAAAAACACTCGTACATTAAAAATAACTTCCTGTCCCTCCAAGGCATGTCAATGGTCTATGTATAAATTATGCACAACACATGCTAGATTTTGATTTGATATTTGGTTATTTGTTGATGTAACCTTTACGTGCTTGTTTTGCAGAGTCCACAACGGGACAGCGGGCAGGCAGGGGAGATATCAGTCACTCCGGGGAACAGCAGTAGCACCAATGGTGGTGCTGATGTCATGTGCTGACAGCTGACTGCTCACTCAAGACTTTGTTGCTGGATTTCAAGTTCTTTAGCTTAATTTATGACTAAATTCTCTGATCTGAGCCCTCAATCTAATACACCTCTCCCCCTTTTGTTTTTGAAAATGTTATTAGCTGTGCGAATAATTTTCTAAGCCTTATTGTTGTCCGTAAGCCTTATTCATTGTGTATCAATCAGTGTAAATATAGTACTGTAATACTTTTAACCTTATCACAGTTAAATTCCTGAACTTTTGTTGAGCTTCAATTTTTCATAAAATTTTATAGTACCATCTATTTAAGAAATTTATGAATAAATATGTGATGCTGTGAATAACAATAATTTGTCTTCTGATATTTATTGCTGTACTTGCCACGCTGTCCGAAAATTTTCAAATTGTCGAAAGCTATGAGGAACTGTTACCTTTGGGTAGAGACAGTCACTGGGGTGTCTAAAAATCACAAAAGGAACGATTAAACAACCCTCTCGTAGGTCCTTTACCTACTTGTCTCCGCGAGCGCATCCATCGGCTTAGGGTTGAAAGAAGCCCTGGAAAGTTTCCTATAAAACGGAAAATTTCCGGGAAAAATGGGAAAATTTTCCCAGACTATTAAAGTTTTCCGTTATTTTCCGGAAAATTTTGGATATTTCCAACCCTACTTCGGCCCGTTCACCCCACTTGCGGCGCAGCACCACCCCCTCCGCCGCCACGCCACGCCACCCCCACTACGCCCCTCTCTGGGCGCGCGCAGGACCGGCGGCCGGCGCCCGCCGCGCCCCGCCAGTCGCTGCCTGCCCGTGGCCCCTGCAACGCGTTCGCTCCGTCGCACGGTGACGGAGCCTTTGCCGCCGCGGTCGCGCCCGTCACGTCGCGGTTTCGGTTCGCGACGCGTGTCGTTCCGTGTATAAACCGCGAAGTTTGCGTGCGCGCGCGTGCCGCCGTGTGAAAAGTGTCAGTGTGATCAAAAGTGCAGCCTAATTTGGCGGGAATTCCGTGGAAATTGTGCGAGCTTGTGCCTACTGTCGCACCTGTCAGTGTCCGCTGTTCGAGCCCGGCTCAGAAGCACTCAGAAAACCCGCAGTGTGACCGCTGTCCCCAAAGTGTCGTGCACGACGAGGAAACAAGGGTCGTGTGCGCCCCTAACCCTTAACCCCTAACCCCCATCACAGTCGCCTCCAATGGCGCGCTAAAGTTCAAGAGGACTCTCATCAGCTCAACGCGACCATGGGCAAGAGCGGCAGCAAGCTCAAGTCCAAGAACCGGAGCCAGAGTGAGTAGTAGCTGTCTATTTTACCTGTACGTCTGACGAACTTGAGCGATAGATTCCAACCACGCACCAAACCATATGTCGGTCGCACCTCCTCCCGCGCCTCATCCTGTGCCTTGTTTCGTCTCCGGTTGGATTGGAGTTGTTGGATTTCGGTGTTTTGGTCGCTAGCTTTTATGGGAGAGGAGTTGGCCAGGTGGGTAGGGAGGGGGGGAGG